GAAATTGTATTTTAATTATGTGACAGTGCTCTGCTTTTGTCAGTTCCCAAACCTCCCCAAATAGACCTGCATTTTGTAGTGTAATAAAGGCAATTTATGTCCTCATATATTCTGTTTGGATAGTGGTGAGGTTGTCACTTTGGAAAGAAAACACTGTCACTGTCACTTGTCTTATGCCTTGAATCACTTTGCAGGTGCCACTGCTGACTACCACTAGAAAAATGCCTGATATAAACAGTATGAGATTACATGGACTTTACTGCTGGTGGTCATGGTGCATACCTGAAACAGAATAGACAGAGGAATCTACTTGTACACAAATATACAAAACTTGAATTACCTGTCAGATGAAGGTGAGAAACTAGTGTGTGCATCCTGCCAGGTGGGAAAACTAGTGTCTTTAACTGTAGTTAGTGGCATTAAGATTATACTGTATAGTTTCTCTGAATTATAAGAAAGGGAGTTGAAATGCTATATTAAGAAGAGGCACTAAACAAATGACAGAATGCTGTCAAGCATTTAAGAGGTGAAGACACATGAAACAGGCACTCTCCTGTGTTCAGCCTGTACCTTTCAGGATGATAGTTTTCCCCAGTTCTGAGTGGAGATCACAGCTAAGAAGGGTAATGAGATAAGCCCATCTTGGCTAAAAAAAGAACACTAGCTTGGTACTAAGTCTGAGGATGAAGCTCGTGGAACTGTGCTTTGGACTTTCACCTGGAACTGCAGAAGTGCATAAAAACTGGTACTGCAGAAGAGCCTAAAAACTGCTCTCCTGTTTGTCTGATGGGGTATGGGGGTTCTGCATCCTGAAACCTGCAAAAGTTCCAGAGTGGAAAAAATCAAGAAGAGCTTTCCTAGTTCAAGAAAGAGTAACTAAGGGTTTTTAAGTTGGTATTTAAGGGAAAATGGATATTGGAAATCAGTGATGTCTTTGTGATCTCAATTCCACTCTTGGAACCCTAGAAGTCAGACTTCTGAACAGTGGACTGAATGTCCAGTGTCATTTTGATAGCACTTGAGCAAGTAGCACAGTTATTATTGATATCGCTGCACGTACAGAGTTGAATATAACAGTAAAAAGCCCAAGAATCAACCTCTTTTTTTTTTTTTTTCATATAGAAATAGTATTAATTTCTGTATGTGGTGGTCTCAGTTGGAACAGAGTTGGTTTTTCCTTCACAGTTTCAGGTATGATGCTGTGCTTTGGTTTGAAGAGAAAGCCAGTGCTGATAATGTACTGATGTTTTTGTTGTTGCTGAGCGATGCGATACAGAGCCAGGGACTTTTCAGTTTCTCAGCTTCTCGTACTGCTCTGGCAGTGAGGAGCACAATTTTTTGGGAGGGGACATAACCTACAGCTTAAACTAGCCAGAGGGATAGTTCATACCATAGGACATCATGTGAAAAAAAATTTGACAGTGGTGGGAAGTTGGCTGGAGGAGCCGTCATTGCTTGAGGACTGGCTGGGCATCCGTTGGCGGGTGGTGAGCAATTGAGTTGTATGTCACTCATTTTGTATATATGCATAGTATATATGCATAGGTAATTATCATAACTGTTATTCTCTTTTCCTCATCTTTTATTTGTCTTAGTAAATAAGTGTTTATCTCAACCCATGAATTCTATTTTTTTTTCTTTCCTGATTCTCTCTGCCATCCTGCTGGGAAGGGGGAGTGAGTGAACAGCTGTGTGGTGCTGAGCTGCCTGCTGAGTTAAACCATGAACACCGTACTAATAATGACTTGCAAAAAAAGAGAAAAAAATAGAATACTAAGAAGCAACTAAATACTTCTTAGAAAGAAGGTGAGGAAAAATGTCCATCAACTCCAGCTTTATTAGAAAAATATGGACTGCGTAATTGGCTTTATTAGAAAGGCATAATTAGATCCAATTTTATTGTTTTTTTCACAGTTGAAATGTCCTATGTGAGGATTTATAAATCTTAAAACTCTGCAAAGCTCCAGTACAGGCAGCAGATGTTTTTTTTTTCTTCTTGTTGATTTTAGGGTATTATCAGCACTCGCAGCTACCTAATCCCAAACCCATTTTACAACTGAATTACTTGCCATTTTCATGATGTCTTCCCGTGAGGTTTCTCTGAGATCTGTCTTTCCAATTACCATTTGCTGTCTTTCAGCACTACTTTCACTTTAATTTTGCAATGCAAATGTCTCTGGATCCATCTCAGTTCATTTCAGCCTCCTCTCTATTTCCATGCAATTTTCAGTCCCAAATAATTCTGAAGATTTTTCTCAAAAAATATGATTGGTAAAATACTCTGAAATGTAAAAAGTATTATCAAGCATCTGGTGTTTAGAGTTCATAGTTTCAAGCTTTTCTGAAAAACTGAAAGAATGAGACTGATTTTCTTTTGAACTGTTGCTGGAATTGAAGCTTTACAAGGAATTTTAAGGAGCTGGGGCTTTAGGAAAGTATTCACTATCATGACATGAATTTTTTTTTGAAGTAGGAGAACTAAAATACTGTAAGCGAAAAATGTGTAGTGCTTCAAGCTTATGTCTTTTATCTAATTTTGTAATTAGCTGGAAAGTAGAGAAACCAAAAGCAATGCCATTGAAAGATTATTATTTTTGGCTAATCTCCTGCAGTGCTATTCCCAAAGCAACTATAGATTGGCATGGGTTGGGAGGAGCCTGAAAGATTGTCTGCTTCCATCCTCCAGAATTGAAGTTGTTGCCCTCGGTTTTTCACAGCGCTCAGTTCCTGCTGATTTCAGAAGTTCAAAATACTTTTTTGCTGAAGCCAGTAAGGGCTGTGTTTAGTATGGCTGAAAACCAGATGGAAGGACGTTTGCCAGAGCAGTGTTCATAAGGCCTAATCTTTTAAGGCACCATCACTTAATTGCTGTATTAGCTAGCTAATGACTAAATGAGGCTTCTGCTCCTCTGCTTTTCTTTGCCTTTCAGTAAGTATCAGCTCGGGAAATTATTTTCTTAAATGTTTTCAGATACTCACTGAGTGTCTGATTTTTCAGTGTAAGTTTGAAAACTGCAACTTCTGTTTTCAGGTTTTATAAAGGACAGCACATGCACTCAATTCTATCACCGCATTTATTTAAATGTATCTATCATAGGAAAAATAAAAGAGAGGGAATTTGTTCTTAGGTGTTTGGCCACAAAAATGGTAAATATCAGAAGTTAACAAGCTGAGCTATTATTATTGTTATTAGAAGCTAACAAGCTGAGCAGTTCTCCAGAGCTGTTTTACACTGATTTCTTTGAATTGTAGTATATCCTGAGTTGGACCTCCAGGGATCATCGAGCCCTGGCTGGAGTCCTGGCTCCACACAGGACCACCCCAAATCAAAACCCTTTATCTGAGGGCGCTGTCTGAATGCTGCCTGAGCTCTGGCATCTTGGTTCCCCGTGCAGCCCGTTCCGTGCCCGCCGCCCTCCGCTGCAGCCCCTGTCCCTGACCACCACCCGCCCCTCTCCTGACGCAGCTCCATGCCGTTCCCTCGGGCCCTGTCGCTGTCACACGGAGCAGAGCTCAGCGCTGCCCCTCCGCTCCCTGTGAGGAGCTGCAGCCGCCATCGGGCCTCCCCTCAGCTCCTCTGCTCCGGGCTGCACAAACACAGCTGCCTCAGCACTTCTCACACATCTTGTCCTCCAGACCCTTCTCCATCTTTCTATCTCCTTTGGTTGATGTATCCTGCTTTTGAATTTCTCCAGTTGTGTTCTTAAATTTCCTGTGCTCCTAACGGTGAATCTGACGTTTCTGTTTTGTTTCTTCTATGGTTCTTACCCAGTTACTTCCGTGTCAGTGTGGATGATATTTTTTCTGCAGTATCTTATTTGACAAAGTAAACCTGCATGCTGGTGAATTTTATTTGGTTTTATAGTGTAATTTCTTCTTCAGAGTGACTTTCTGGCATTTTTATTTTTATTTTTAATTTCTTGGGAGTTCTGGAGTCTTTTTTTTTCAGGGAATGGGCTGACATTGGTATTTGGGGTCATCTGTTATACAATGTCTTTACAAGTTAATCTTTGCAAGTGCTCAGGGTGAAGAATGTTTTAGTGGGAAGAAGTGTTTAGTACAGCCCAAGGTGTTCAGCTGTGTTTAGGTAAGCGTGGGTCTGATTCTGGCTGCAAGATGTGATGCTGCTGTTATCTGTTGCATTGGGAATGCTGTGTGGAGAAGATATTAGCCCAAAATTTTATGCTGGTACAGCTTGTTTGGAAGTTTTATTTTGGAGTGAGACTGATTGACTAGAGATATGTTAAATGACGAGGGACTTATATTTGGATATGGCCATGTACTTTCAGCGTTTCATGTCCTGTTTGTCATATCTTGCACTTGTCTGTAAATTAAACTAAAGTCAGTAATTTATTTATTTAATTATTATTTAATGTAAATTAAATTAAAGTCAGTCTTTTGTGAGCAAATTCTCCCAGTATTTAATATTCTTGTCATATTATAGAGGATCAGTTTGCAATATTCTTGGAGGGAATGGTTTCTTCTGCTGTCATTAGATTAGTCTTGAGACCTTGTTTTCTAATTACCAAAAGAAGCCCTGCAGCATAATTCCATATAGGGGAGAAAAGCTGGGAAAAAATGCACAGCTGAGATAAGGCAAAAAAAGCAAAGTTCCTGAGCAGCATCTTAGAGATGCTTTAACGAGTTACAGGTTTTCATTTTAGATTTTACTTTTGTTTGTAAGCTATTTAGAAAGAAGAAAAGATAAGGCTCTTTTTTGCAGAAAGAATGATCTCTCCTTATCCCTAGCCTTTCCCTGCGTATAGCTGCTGCAGAATGCAGTAGCAAGCTCATATGCACGTAGAAGTAAAGAAAAAATAGTTATTATAAAGATGAACATGAGAGTCAAAATGTGGTACTCTGTAGACTCTGGGTGACCTGTCCTCTTTCATGCCAGTCTCATGGGATGTGATTCACATTTTCCTTTTTCAGAGTTTTTCCATTCCCTCTTTTTTTTAATTTTTTTTATTTTTTTATTTTTTTTCCTTCCTTCATGTGAGAAATAATTACTTCTGGCAGGGACCTCTGAGAGAAGTTGTGGGCCCAGAAAGTGCTCCTGCTGCAGTGACTACAGATGGCATGCAGGTACCATTACTTGCCATCTGAGCCATTTTGTCTCTTACAGCTAATCTGTCTTTTATCTTTCTCTTGTACCTCATCTTTTTTTTATTTTTTTTCCCCTGTTTTGTCCCTTAGGAACAAGATGGGAAATGTGTTTTGTCGCAAACCAGATGACGTGAACAATGCTTGTTTGCATTCTCTTACCCATAGATGTGCTAAGGGCTTAGAAGGAGTAACTACTATTCAGCATATTCAAAACCAAAATAAATAGGTAAATTAACTTTTTTTCTCAATTTATGTCTACTTGTAGATACTGAGCATTTCATATCTATCACCTTCTGCCCCCTTAATTTTAAGCAAGTGTCTCAATTCTAAGAATCATATTTGGAGCTGTGCAAAGCAGAATTTGGAGCAAAATGGAGTTTCTGGTGGAAGAAAATACTTATGGGAGGTACTGCTGCAAGGAGGAGACACCGCAGGCCCGCTGTGGGGTGGCAGTGAGGCAGTCTGGGCAAACTGGTCATGCTGCTGCTTGCTGTGTTCACTTTGCTCTGAGCCACTCACAGTGAGATTCACCGCAAACCTAACAAAATGATGTGTTCTGTTATGTTTATAGACATTTGAAAGTGAAGATTCTGTTCAGTTAATTCACTGCTGGACAAAGGGATTTACATACAATTTCATATAGGTACAGGTTCATGTGGAAATGTGTCTTTTTCATCCTTTTGAATTCACTTTAACCAAAATATGAGACTGTAAGTGATGTATCCAGATAGATGAATTGTGATTTCTATGTGCTTTGTTTAACAATGGTGTAGGCATCTTACTGTAAATTCAGGAAATACATAGAAAAGCTTTTTCTTAAAGTTACACTGCTGAAAAGAAGGAACAATTTATGTTCTCTGGGCATGGGGTTCTTTAGCTATGTCATAGTGATGAACAGAAACTCCAAGTTAATCTGACTTAGTAAGGAGCTTCCAGAATCGCAAGTTAGCAGATTCATAATCTGACTGTTTGTACACACATGCAGTCATTGACCTTATTTTTTGTGGATGTGCTTCATCACTATAGCTTTAGAAGAGCCTAATATGTTTTCCCCATTACCTAAATTGCTCAAAAATGGAAAACAGGCCTATCTGTCATATATTTCCTCATGTAACTGCATTATGGAGTGCTGTTTTCACATTCTTATGCAATGCTTTTAATCCTGAGTGATCAACGTCCTTTGAGAATTAGAACATCCAGTCTTTTCATTGCTCTTGTTTTCACAGGCACACAGTACACACACACTTGTGCCACTTAGAAACTCCCACTAGAAATAAACTGATTAATAACAATCCGTATTTGAGGGCTCCCCTACCGGACCTGTTGTCTTTTTAATACTTTCTATTCTTGTCTTTATTATGCAAAATAAATTGTGTTCCTCGTTTAGCTGACTAAGAGGAGATGAACACAGAACTCTTAAATTCTACCTCTTTAAAGTGCTGAATGTTAATTGGATTTCTTGCTAGAAGCTGCCTTGAGAAGCAATATGACTATAGTATAATTGCTTGAAAGCAAAACATCTGCAAAGCTGAAAAAACATCAAGTAGGTTTGTTTTATAATAAGGTACTTGACAAGAATTAAAGTGATTAATTGTTTATTTGCCACAGCAATAGTATTTTACATTCTGGTGGCTTGTGTCCTCAGTTTTTCTCAGAAAAAGCATCAGATAAAAGTTGAAGAACATCTGAGAAGTGGGAACATCTGAAAATTCCTCCTTTGAAGTACACTTATACATTATTTCTTTTCTGATATTAAGCTGGTCAAAAAAAAAAGATGACAGCTTGGGTAATTCAAATCCCATTTTTTTTCCAAGATAAGGCCAAATTTCACAGACTACATCTTTCTGCATTTTCCTAGACCTAGTTTCATGCCCTGTCAGTCCTGACTGTGCGTGTGTGAGCAGCGTTATACTCTATCGATGCTGTGATGGTATTTCTGTTACATTTAGTACTGGAAGTTGGATGCCTGGGGGGGGTTTCATATTTCCTGCCACTCAAGATATCAGCGCTGTGCTGTGATGGGATGGTGGTAACTGTGGGTGCGAGCCCTGCTCTTCTGCACCTTTTCCATTTATGTGACCTTTTGACTTTAAGATTTAAAAAAATGTCAAAACTGGAGGCAGGTACTTAGTCGTTTGTTCCATCCAGAAACGCTGGCTGCAGCCAATTCTCACCACCTAAAGAAAAGGAGGCCATTTACACTCATTTATTTTAACCATAAGTACACCTGAAGCTGACTGAACAGCAGATGTCTGGCTAGCACCTGTATCTGAGCAGGTTTTAATTAATTTTATACCCATTGTGCATTTTTTCCCACACAGAGATTGATAGATAGACTGCTTAATGCAGGAAATTTAAGAGTTTAAAGAAGAGGAGAATCATATTTTCCTATCTGGAGATTTTTGAGGTAGTGTATTGAATTGTCTCAAATGATGCTTTCCTTGCAGATCCACCCACTCCTAAACAAGACTTATTGACAGGCTCCAGTTTAGGTCTGCACCTGTGGTAAAGTGAATACACTTTACCGTAATCCCAGTGGAATTTCAGGTTTGTGACGCCTCCCGGGACCTTGCAGGAACTGCCATATTTTTTCACCCGTTTTGGACTTCTGCATTTTACCAAAGAAAAAGCCTGGATCCTGACATTTGGGAGAATTTCACTACTGTGAAGATGGCATGCAGAATGGCATCTCCTGGCACATTGCTTTTTGTAACAAGTTGACTGATCCTTTGCAAAATGCAGCTGAGGACCAAATGAAGTATGAGTACCAAATGAAGCATCTGTCTCTCACTTTCTTTCTGGCTTGGCTGTGTGCCTCTTGCCTTCCTTACAACAGCAGAGCCCTGCTTTGCTCAAAGAGCCGACCAAGACTTCTGGATGTGAACCATCAAAGAAGCCATTTTGCATCTTGCCTTCAGGTGGTTTAGTCTCTCAGTGAATCTGTCCTTGCTCGCTGTGGTTGAATGCCAAATGCTGCTGTTTAATTCACGCTGAACAGCATCATAGTGTACTGAAGGGCATGGAACTATTTGTAAAATTAGGAGCAAATCTGTGAGTTTAGTTTCAAAATCTGATTTAATGTGGTCTGAAATTCAGTGAGATTTAATGAGAAATTGGAAAACAGGCATCTTGCAGACCACTATCTTTTTAGCACAGTCACCCACCCACTCCAAAATACCTCTGCTGGGAAATTTACAGTCTGTTCAAATTTGACTTAAAATACTCTGCTGCTGCCCACTATTCACAGACAAGCTTTGACTCTGAATGACCCCCTTTCCTTTGTAAAATGATTGGATTATTATTATTATTTTTTTTTCCCATGTAACTGTATTGACTATCACTCTGGGTAGTTCAGCTTCCCAGACGCTCTGAATAAATTGAAGTAAAACATAAGTTCAGTGACAGTGATAATTGACCTGCTAGTAATATAAGGAACTGGAAGACAGTTTGTAATGTGTTAAAGTCATGGATATTTCCTGGGTATATCCACTTCCTATTTTGAGGAAATTAGACATCAGAAATGGCAGTTAAGGAGAAATCTGTAGGAGAGAGGTAAGCAAGCAATCACCAAATGAAAACCAAATTGTGGTGGGAATAAACCTGCATGATACAGAATGGATATATATTTTTTTACCTGTGTTGAGGGCTAAAAAGAGAAGCAAGACATTCTGCTTTCTTCCCTCCTGCTGTTGCTGTAAACACTCACTTCCAGTCACCTCTCCCTAAAACACTTTTGAGTTTTCAGGCATTATCTTACACGTCATCTCTCTGTTACATGCTGCCTTCCCCACTGAGAAACTATTACAGCAAAGGCTGCCCACTGTGATGAATGTTGGCTACCCCAGGGCAATGACATCCTTCCTGACTTCACTTGTTGGCTGCTGACTGTGCCTTCCAGGAGACTAAGATCTTAATAATAAATTGCTTCTCAATTTTACTACTTATTCTTAGCTAGTGGAATAAATATAAAAAACTAACGTGAAGGAAAAGTGTTACTTTTTATTGTTGTGTACAAAGTAACAACTAATATAATTCATTTTGCCTACAGGCAAGAAGGAACTATTCGCAAATTAGGATGAGGAAAAATGTTTGTGTGTTCTTCCTCTACCTGGTGATTCTTCCTGTAGCTTAAGAAAAAAAATATCCTTTTAGCTTCTAACCTGTGCATGGTAGCTTCAAGCTGCTTATAAATTGAAGCTGCTCAAGAGTTCTCAGTGATCAGATTTTGATTTCCTGTCACAGACAAAATGAAGCCTAGAATGCTGTACTTAGCTTCTAGGAATACTCTTTCCATGTCTGTTGGTAATTGCAACAGCTTTCTCTTCTCCAGGTTAAACAAGCCCAACTCCCTCAGCCTTTCTTCATAGGAGAGGTCCTCCAGCCCTTTGAGCATCCTCATGGCCTTCTCTGGACCCTCTCCAACAGCTGTATGTCTTTTTTGAGCTGGATGCAGTAATGCAGATGGAGCCTCATAATGACAGAACAGAGGGGGAAAATCACCTGCCTTTTCCTGCTGCCACTGCTCTTTTGACGCAGCCAAGGATACAGTTGGCAAATTTAACATTTCTAAAGTGAAGAAGTTTAACTAAATTATAGACCTTAAAATTAAATAATAACTTCCTTTAGTGTCTTTGTATTCATCAGAACTTTTGTAGCCTTTGCTGTGACCAGTAGATGTGTTCAGTTCAATCAAGGACTCTGTTTAAGCAGGAGAGAGGCGTGGGTATTTCTAATACGAAAATAATTTGCTTAATATGTTATTAATAAATCTTTTGATTTGAAATGCTGTATGAGCTGTTGATTCCAACAGAAGGTATGGTTTGAGAGGTATTATAATAATACCCAGATTTAACTCATGGTGTCTAATTTTCTAATTCATTAATCACTAGAATCATCACTGACATTTCTTCTAACTTATTAGCACAAACTTTCACAATAGCAAATCTGTTCTCCCATTCTTTTTTTTTTGACTACAGGCAGCTTTTTTGGTAGCTTTCTTTGTTGTCTGGTGGGGAAATCCGTTGGGCCAGGCTGAAGCAGTCACCATTCTTGCTGTTGTGTGATTCACATCCTGACTGGGAAGAACATACAATGTGAATGCTCAAAAATACATTGAGAAAAGAACAGTGAGAAATGAAATGCATCATCTGTTCCTTCTGATGGCCGCAGGGCTGCCAGAGAAAGGTATGGTGTGCCAGTTACAAACCTTGGCAAACCCTCATCTACTCAGCACTGTACAGAGTCTTGCTTGTTGCTGTCTTTCTGGTCACAGGCACAGTGCTGTGGCAAAGGGTGAGGATCTGACTGTCTGGGTCTGACTTTTCCAAGTAAATTGAAAGCTGGAACAAGTTCAATGAGAGATTAAAGAGAAGGAGCTGCGTCAAAGAAAACTCCATCTTACATTCTAGGTGATTTTCAGAGCTTACCTGAAGCTGTAAAGAGGCAGCAAAACAATTTCTGTCTGTTGTTCTCTAACTTGGTTTATTCCTATCAGCTCTTAGCTTGAGGTCAGTGAATGTACAAGAACATTGCAGTGGATCCTCTTATTCTGTAAGATAGTGGACATGATGATGGTGCTAAAGCATGCTGCATTCAAACCACTTGTTCTAGCTTAATGTTGAAGATCCTTCCAGCCCAAAGATGACTGACAGACTAGGTATTTTGAATTTTTTAGTTGTTATTCAAGCTTTGAATCATATGAACTTGGTCTTTGCTCTGAAATACATAGCAAAGAGGATGAAAAAAATCACACAACACATTAGTAAATTCTTTTTGAGAAGTGTGATATTGTTGGAAATTGTTAGATTTTCAGAATTTACAAAAGCACATGACAAAGAGTGATGATCTGTGTAGATGTTGTGGGGAAAACGAAATCTGAGAGATAGATGAACAGCAAGGTAAACGTTAGCCACTGATGTAGACTATTGAGGAATATTAAGCTAGAATATACAGCCAAGTTTACCTCATGAAAAGTAATAAATACTTCCTATTTTACTTTGTTCTGTGCAGAATACTCTCTCTGGTTTTGGCCATCTGTGTCTTAATACAGGAGGAAAGAGAATCTGAAGTAAGGATAACACACCCTTTAGGAAGAATCATATTCTAAGTTGCTGTTTAACTTAGAATAGAAACAGGTGACTCCTGAACAGTGCTCCGGTATGCGAGAACGCTATTCTGAGAAATAGGGTAAAGTTCTCTGTGTTTACTGGTGAAGGAACAAATGGCAATGAGCTTTGCTGGTTGCGAAGAGTATTATTTTCAGGGAAAGGATTTCAGACGTTTAGGATTACATGGCAATGCTGCAGACAGTGCAACCTCCCACATTGGAGTGTTTAAGAATAGGTCTGTCAAACAGCCATGACATTGTTGAGCACAACTTCTGTGGAAGTCCTTAGTTCTGAGGTAATCCTCTCTTAATCCTTTCAGTCTTTGCTGACTTGATTTGATGGATCTTCTAAGAATTGTTTCTTCCATGAAAGCAGAGATCATTTTGTAACTTGTAACAACTTACAGTGAATCCTGTTCTGCTTGCAAAGATAATCAGTTTGTTGGTCTTTGGAAGTGGAAGGTCATTGTGTGACTTCAGAATGGGAAAAGTGAGAGGGAAATTAATGAAGAATCACCTTGAGCAGCCACAGCCATCTATGGGCCTTTTCTGTTACGATAAATCCTCCTTGGCCTTGGCTGTGCATGGTAGGATGAATTCTGTTCATGGTATTTTGAAATCTTATGCCAAGAAGTGAAATATTTAAGTTATTTACAGAAATTGAGCTGCAATCTTTGGCTTAAGGATTGGTAAAGAGTTCCTTTACAGATCTTGCCCAAAAGATTTTGGAGTGACAGAGCCTATAGTCTGCAGTGCTCTTAGATCAGATTCCAGCTGAGAACTTTACTGTCATCTTCAGAAGCAGCAGAACTGGAAAACACAGCAAAACCTGATGCTAATATGTATAAATGGTGAAAGGAAAACAAGGGATTGTTGATATTATCTTTCCATTTTTGTATTTATGGCCTTAAAAATATGAGATAGAAAACATTAATGCAGTCAAATGGCAGTGGGATAACCAAGATGATTGTGAATGAAAGGAGTTTATTTATGCTGATAATATAGGAATGAATAGATAGACATGCCAGCTGATGAGGTGAGACAGTAAATTAACTGTCTGAGAAGAAGCAGTGGTAACACACTCAGGAAAATCTGTGTTATTATGTCTTGGGTTGCATTCTTCTACATACTAATGACTAAGCATAAATAACTTCCCATTGTACTGAATAAACATCATTCTTTTCATTTTCTTTCCCTTGAATATCACAGAATAAATAAACTGTAAGTGCTTGAGTGATTGTTTAGTTATACATTCTTGTGTTAAAATTACTATTTTATATCCTTCTGCACATTCAAGTGACATCTTTTTAGTTTTAAAGAATTATCAATGAAACTTCAGTTAAAGCCAAGTCAGTATTGTAGCGTTAGTTTAAAAGTTGAAGTATGAAAAGCAGAATCTACATATTTTTAAGATAAATCTACTATTGCTATTTTCCACAGCATCTTTGGTAAGGTAGAAAAAAATGGATCTCTTTTCTAACTGTGGTAGCTATTGAACTCATGTGCTTGATATATTCTGCTCTGTCTGTCCATGTCATACTCCCCTTGGAATTAGTCTGGCTAACTGCAGCCAAAGGTCATCGTCATCCTCCAAAAGCTGCTGTGTTTGTTTGAGCTGGTGAGAGATTTGGGTCTGTATAATCCTGTTCCTGTTTCTTGGCAATAGTTGATCACATTTAGCTGACATCAGTTTATTCTGAGGCGAAAGAGTTTTTTCTCTCAGTGCATGTGAAATACTCAATTGAACTTTAAGTACCCATGCCTTCTATAGTGGTGAAAAAGAGTACGGGAAAGATAACACTTCATTGCTTTGGTCCCTGGAGTTGTTTCATCTCTTTCTCTCTCTCTCTCCTGCCTGTAGAGTGACGTACAATTCTTGCAGTCCTCTACTGCTGTTAATTTAACAATGTTATATTTTGTTTTCAACATTAGCAAAAGAGACGTGGAAATCTGATAGTGTCTCAGATGGCATTATCAGGTAGGAGGTAAGAGTGTTTTCTAAACTCTTGATGCTATTAATTTTTCTGTGTGAAATAGTCTAAGAGATTGCTTCCTTTCTGTGCAGATTAAAACTCATACTCAGAATACCCTTTAAGACTAATTTTACATAAGGTACAAACATTTCTTAACAATTTTAAATGGTCTTTCATTATCACTTCAGAAGCTATGACCTGGATGTTATCTTTGGCTTTTAAGTCTGCTTAAGGAACTACTATTCCAGAGT